ATTGTATAAATCAAGAAGATAAAATCATTCTATCATCAAAAGAAAATTATACAAATATAAATAATAAGAGAAATGAATAAGGTGATAAATATGATAATATTTAATGTAAAATATCTAATAATAATATTAACACTCTTGTTATTAAATGATATGATATTAATAATGAATTATACTTACTTCAAAATTGTATAGAATTATTTGATTCAAATGAATATCAAATTCAAGTTATTCTTCAAGAAAATAAAGATGGAAATGAAGAATTATGAATATGGATTCATTATTAACACCAAACTATGATGAAAATTTAATTTCATCAACAAATCTGATAATACACTTTCAATATTAAAAAATGATATATGGAATATTTTGTTGATCTAAAAACATGTGAGAAAAGATGAAATTATGGTGATGAATGAATAGAAATAGAAGAACGTATTTGTAGAAGTACTGAAGATGATAATGTATTGTTATTATATAGATATTGTATTAGAAGACAGAGAAGATTGTATGCAAAACCAAATATTATTAAATATGGTGATATTAAACATAAAATTACACAAATATCAGAATATGTTTCATAACCACAAATTCAACCATTAAAACATCAAAGAAAATCAACAGAAATAATAATTTATACATATTCATATTGTTATTCTACTTGTTTATTTATAACAAAATGAATAAAAGAATGGAGAAGTGGTATTATTGTATGATATGATGGTGATTCATATGGTAAAGATGAAGAAATTGAAGTAGGACAATCACCATCAAATAGAATGATAAGTATAATTACAGAAAAACAATATGATTACAAACCATTAGAATTTTCACTTAGTTATAGTATTTTAGAAACATTTAAACATAATTATAAATATAATGAAAATATTCCGAGAGAATTTATAAAAGATATAGTAGATGAAAGAGTAAATATATATCCATATGTTATAGGAGATGAAATAATAGAAGAATTTGAAGAAGAAACAAAGAAGATAATAGAGAAATATCAAACAAAATGTAATCCAAAGAATAAAAGATTGGTTAAAATAGATAATAAATGTGATAAAGAAATTAATATAAAACATGGACATGGAGGATATGAATGTGGAGATAAAGGAGAATGGAGTACAAAATGTGTACTAGCTTATTGTGACTCAGGATACAAGTTTGATTATAATAAAAATAAATGTGTTAAAGGAATTTGTGCATATCCAAGTAGTTGAAATAGAATAATGACAATAAATCTAGTTATGATTATTGTTGGATTAATGATGATAATTCTTTAATTGAAGAAAGAATAAATTAATATTTAATGTTTAATTTAATAAAATAAATAATAAACAGATTTATATCAAATAAAATAAAAGAATAGAAATAACAAGATAAAATAATAAAATTATAACATAATAATAATCAATATTAAATATAAATAAGAATAATACAATAAATAAGAAGAAAATAAAGAATGAAAATAAATAAAATAATGATAAGAATATAATAAATAAGAATAAATTAAATAATGAATCAGATAATAAATTATAATAAGATATAAAATTAAAGATTATAATTCATAAATAAACATATTATATATTATATTAAAGAAATAAATAGAAAATAAATAATAGAGAGAATAAAATAAATGAATAGATAATAAATATGATGAGTGTATTATCAAAATTAGAAAATATCATAATTAATTTAAATTTAGAATTGTTTCATTAACATAATAT